GTTTGAAAATAATTTTTCAATTTGATTTAAAAAGGTGAATAAATAATACATTACCTTTGAAACTAGCATTGAAATGATTTCTTTTACAGTGCTGTCAATCAAATCATCTATTTTTGAATGGTACTGTTGCTAGATAGTAAAAGATAAAGATGTATTAGTTGATGTGGACACAAAACTTTTGTCATAAGTCATAAATGCTTTAAAGCTACTAGTTATGATATATCAGATTTATTAAAATGATCATTTTGAACATTAGAAGAACAAAACATTGAAAACGATCCACCCAATCAACACTTTTTACATTGCGGTTTGAAAATTTTCCCATGTGCACTGTTGAGTTAAGCAGCTAATGGGGTTATTATATAGATGAATTGAGTTCTTATTCTTATTCAGGCGGAGGAATGTGAAGGATACTTTTTGTCTTCTCCTCTATAATTAAGGTGGCCGTGTATTTTTCTAAAGGGTTGGTTTAGCTGGAGAAGCAAAAAGACTAGAAAAAGATTTAATTAATACAGCATTTCATGTCTGACAACTCTCATTCATAAGTTATTTTAAATGTGCTCTAGAAATAAAATGAGCTCCCAATTGTTCACTCTAAAAGGATCTTTTTGTCAGTGCAGGGAGCAGCAGTTTATACAATTCTTACAATATGCTCAAGCAAGGGCAAAATTAAAATTTCATCAACAAAGGTGAATAGATGGTAACAAATTAATAGGCCATAAAAGGTATAATGAAACGGCACTCACTCCCCATCGTTTTATTACTGCTTCCCCATGAAAAAAGCGCCTTTAAGTAAAGGCAAAAACAAAGATGTATTTAAAATAAACCTGAAAGACTCCTTTTTTTGCTTTCTTTAGAGAATACTAGAGAGCCCCATTCTTAAATTAGCAGGAGCTTCGGTTTCTACGGCGTGTGAAGGCACATTCATTTAAACAGTAATTCTTCCTTTAGAAGCATTTATCTGACAGCCGATTGTCCCCAATAGCCACTTCACAGAAAATATGACTTGTAAAGACTAACCCTATCTTAATGGTTCAAGGCTTCTTGGAACAGCGAACATAATGCGCAGAGTAAAAGTACTCAGGTCACTATAAACATTAGAGCAACTTAACAGCTGCTGGTTGAATGGTTTCCTAAGATGTAAGTTTTTGAAAGCTATTTTTTTCTTCTGAAAACATGTCTCAAAGTTTCCACACAGAACAAAACATCAACTGCTTTGGAATATGCAGGAATGATTCCTCTCCGACAGGCTGACAGTTACAAGTGGTCATCAGCCTGCATAAATAACGAAGAAAGGAAGCATAATTTTGGAGTACGTGAATGATTTTCTTCCTCTGTGTGTGTGTGTGTGTGTGTGTGTGTGTGTGTGTGTGTTGACAAGTGGCCTAAAATGAACACACACGTATGAACGTGGCACTTCCTAGCCATGTATTCCACCCAGTGAAGTGAAATACTAAGGGTCTGTCTCACTTCAGGCCTTACCGAATCCCAAATCAGGGCTCTCCAGAGGACAGACGGAACAGAAACACAGAGGGTGGCTTTCTATTGCAGTAGTGCTGACAGTTTTTGCTTTTGGAACAATTTGAAGACAAGCAAAAGGGCAGAAAATAAAGAAAAAAATGGTGGAAGGGAAAGTGCCTAAAAAAACTGGTTGGTAGTTGAGATGGCCGGGAAGTCCCTCCCTCAGACACAAGTACAAAACAAGGCCCCCAGCTCCAGCTGAAGGGGCTCAGCTGATTGGGCAGTTATGGAGCTTATGCAAATGAGCTCTGGCCTGGCTCACCCCTCTCTTCTCACATCCTTCTCTCCAAATTTGTGTCTGTGCAGCAGGGAGAAATGAAATACCAGACTGAGACTCCTTTTGGGGTAGAATAGGAAAGGGATCTAGCAAATGGGCTTCAAGCTTCTCACTTCCTTCTTATGCAGAAAGTGCTAGAGAACATTCAGGGGTGGAGGCACCCAGACCTCCAAAGCATTCCATATTCTTAAATACGCCTCATCCTCAATGTTTATCTCCATCGGCCATAAATTTCATTTTTTTTTTAACTTAAAAGTAATCAAATGTCATCAGAAGGCTACAGAAAATAGAATACTAGAACTTCCACTTGTTAAACTTTTAGCTTGGACCAATTTTGGCAATTCTTAAAATCAAAAGATGAGCCACTGAAGAGGTCGCTTTTTATTGAAAAGCAGGGAAAGCCACGGACCCTGGTGGTTATCAAATTCTCCTATAACAACAGACTGCTATTTTGATACTGATCTAGCGGAAAGGAGGGGAGAGGAGGAGAGGAGGAGAGGGGATGAGGCAGAGGAAGCTAAAAAGGAAGAAAAGTATACATCTTAAGGCAAAAATTCAAATAATATAAGGTTTTTAGGTTTGCATAAGATTTTGCTACTGTACATTTATCTGATTGCTCTGACTTACACTAATATCAAATCTGAAGACTGTTGGGAACTTCTAGAATCTGCTATAGCTGCACAGTGGGTACAGGTGGGAGCGCTGTGGGTGGAAACGGGGAGATGGCCCCCAAATTCATATTTTACATATACATTCTGCAAAGAGAACCACCCACCTCGTCAGCATATGGTCAACAGAAAGTTAGCTAGAAAAAGTTATTAGGGGATCCCAGACAAACCCAAATATACAAAAACTGATGGCAAAAAAGAACAGAGTTTATCTGCAGCAACATTTATGATACCTAAGCTAAAACTGATAATCACTTAGATGAACAGAGCAAACTTTTGAGAAAATGCTGCAGTTTTTGTATGTAACAATAAAAACCTGTAAAATTCTTAGAATATTTCAGATTGGATCAACGATTCTACATTCCAGGGTTTTGGGAGACTACAAGCCATTCCTAGACTAATTCTCCCCACATCTGCCCTGGAAGGTAAACTGTCGGTGCCTTGCTTCCCCAGCAGAAGATACTGAATTTAAATGAAAACAGCCCTTGAGGACTCTTACTTCTCAGAGGCCAGGGAATTCAGAGATCTGGCACTGGCCTGTAACCCCACCCTCCTACACGCAGGTAAATATCATTTCGCCTGACCACATGGAAACACACAAGAAATAACGACCAATCAAATGCCAGTGTATTCCAGCACTCTTAAAAAGATTTTGGTCCTTCTCTTGGGATGAATTTTAAAGGGATTAGGTTGTTAGTTCTGGGAATGGAAGTATTTTACTGTAATAGAGAACAAATCCTGCACAAGTAGCACCCCACCCCCAGTTACCCCATTAATGTGCTTTCATCCCCAGTGGATGAGCTATGGAATGCAGAGGCGCTGAGGGCAGATGATGGCCTGAGGCCCACGCAGTAATATGCTTTTCTGCAGGGATGGGTAGGGTAACTAGGATTTCTAAACACTGGTGGTTTTGCGCTCTCAACATCTGTCCCGGAGGGACTGGCCTAAGACTGCTGACTCATACGCCCAGCTGTCACATGAGCAGATCATTCGCTCACTGACGACTCCATTAAACACTGTTCTGGGTTGTGGCTGAGCATGTTTGCGTCATCACGTGCCACATAAGGAAACAGAATCATAATTTAGGATCACGGTGGGGCTGCCTTGTGGGTAAGGAGTCACAAAGGCTTTATCTCTAGACAATGACAGTATAACAATTTACTAGAGAGTTTGCAGAGGCAATCCCCTTAGAAGTTAGACAAAGAGCTCTGCTAGGTTTCCCTACGTAGTAAGTACTACATATTTTTACACATTTCCAAATTGTGTGGTTTTTCAACAGCTGTATTTGTTGCTTATTGTAGAATGGAGTCCACAGGCTCACCTATGCATGTGATGTATTTACTAATTTACAACAATTCCAAAACTTATCTGAAGCACATACAGGGAGGGAAAGCCTGTGTCATTATGTGGGTGTATTCGGTGGAGATTTAAAAGCAAAGTATAAAATCCTTCCTTTGCATTGAAATTCTTGTTTACTACTTTCCGGGGTTGCTAACGCATTCTGAACTATATTATTATAGTTGTGTAAAAGTTGTGGGGGACTAATTGTCTCTGGTGAGAAGGTGCAGGTGCAGACATAATGAACAGTAGCAGATTACTCCTCGAAGCCATTCACCTATTAACGTAAAGAATCATTTGACAATGCACCAATGTTTTGTCATTTGTGTATGTGCCCATTTTCTTTTTAAGGACTAGAGTGAGTTGTTTCCGACAGGGGTGGATTTTTAAAGCAGTGACAACAAATCAGTCTGTTCATTCAACAAATATTTACTGAGTGTCTATTGTGTGTCAGGTACTGCAGTGTGTGTTAGAATAAGAATGAATGGATAAATCCATTATTAGTGGGAAGAGGCAAAATGACTATAAACCCAATGGGAAATGGTTGGGCTTATTATAACTGGACTTAAGACAATATTCTCAAGCAGACAATCAAAGGCTTACATCTGGGTATTGAAAAACACGAGGAGGTAGAGATAAGCCATCGATATCCAAACCAGCTGCCTCCTGATTCAGATAATTAGAGATAATAAATCACGTTGTAAGTTAAGTGATCAGAGAATGATAGTTACTGAACATTCCACAATGCTTACATTATTAGTTACTTAATCTGTAAGGTTATATGCTATTGTATTAGGAATACATCTTTTCCCCCTGCACTGCCCCCAAAATGAAATATGTGTATATATTCATAAATTATGGTCAAATAGCTAACGTTTGTATCTGGGTTAAATAAGTATGAAAATCACAAATAGTGTGCCTTCTCATCTTTTTTCACAGTTATCTACTTAAATCCTTCTGCTTCGATGAGAATTGTTAGCCCAGTAAAGAGTCTCGTTGAGATTGATTCAACTGCAAGACTTGTAAGATTTAACATAAGAAAAATGTATTTAATATACAGCACACACAAAAATTTGACTTATACATATACATATATGTAATCTAGTCTCTCTCTCCCCCTCCACCCTCCACCTCCCATCTCTCTATTTTTTTTTCTAGTAAATCTTGTGTGCATAAAGGTTTTCCAACCATTGTTCCTCTGAGGTTCTGGGTGGTACCTAAAGAAAACCTAGTGGTGGGGGAGGGGACATGCTCCTGACACAGGCCTGCCTTTCTGCCCTGACTCTCATGATGGTGACATCCCACACCATGAGTGGGAGGGAAGACTTTCACTGGTGGGCATGTACCTCACTGAAATCCACAAGTTCGTTCTTTTGTATGAAGTGATCTGGAGAGTGGCCTTCCAGCCTTCGAACTTAGGGGTCACCCTGACATATGCTCTATGTCATGTAAAGCCCCAAACTCTAAATTCTTCTAGTGGGAGTGAAAGTATATACTAAAGCTATATGTATCTTGAAAATGTTAATAGTCATTCTGTTACTGATTTTATGTAGTTTAAAGGAGGCTGAGTTCATTGGGTTTGAAATAATTTTATGCTTAAAAATCTAATTTGTATTATAGATTCTGCAGCTTGACAGGGAAGAAACATTCCTTGTGACAATATTTATTAAGATGTAAGCATTTCCATATGTTTTAATGTGTCTTTGGCTTATTGCTGTGCTACAGTAAGCTCCTAGTGTTTTACTCACTGACAGAAACCAAAAACCTGAAAATGGAATTAATTACATTATTTAAGTTTGAAAAGATGAAAATAAAAAATGTGCACTTATGAAAATAAAAATTCAAATGAGAATGTGGTTAAAACAAAACACATGAGACTTACCCACTGACTATCAAACTGGATCATGTCATGGAAAAAAAAAGACGATGAAGGAGAACATAAGGGAAGGGTAGAGAAATCATGAAAAAGTCATTACAATGGGGAAAAAAGGCAACAAAATGTCAACTTAAACAGATAGCTAAGAAAAATCAATCCATTCTCACCCAATCACGACTCTCAACAAAAATAAATCTATTGCTGAATATAGAACAAAACAAAATATAAATAAAATGGAAACAATGGGATATTTATGGAAAAGAATGAAGCCTAATTTTCAAGTATGTTTCGCCTTGGTCTACAAAACAGAAACTTTTGTGTGAATAAAATATATCATATGCTATTTTCTGTGGCTTGTTTTTGGGATGAAACCTTTGGATACTCTAGATTTGTATAAACAAAGCAGGTAGCCTTTTCATTTGCTTATGAAAAGTAAGCTTTATGTAAATACATAACACCTAAGCTGTTAAAAGGTGTATCTGAAATTCAATGGCCATTTATAAAATTTTAGGTAATCTTCATATAAAAAAGAAGAAACTAACTGAAACAAAGGATAAAGGGCATTCCATGGTTATAGTAAAGAAAAGACCAAACACTTGCATTGGGGAACTTGGTCTTTTAATCTAATTAGGTGCCTGACTTCTGGAAACAGCATCCTCCCCTGGTAGGGCACCCCATGCTGCATTTCCACACATGACACTCAATCCACTTACCTCTTGGCCTCCATCCAGGGCACAGAGTTTGGTGCTTTGCTTTTTGGCATCTACTAACACATTAAACATGGTACACACAGAAGCTGGGATGCGCAAGTCAGTGGTTTTGCTCGCCTTTTGTAGTTTGAGTTCAAAGGCAGTTCTTGTTCTGGTCATTAAAACATGAATTCAGAGTAAGAAATTTTGACATGCATCCCACCTGTTCTGTAAAAGTGAAATCCACACTACAAGATGCTAATTTAAAACATGCAAATAAGGGCTGAGACCTTGCTTGGGAGCTGGGGGTGGAGTGCTCGTCTTTTCAGGTGTCTCACATGAAAGATCAAGCTGTGATATTTTATACTAATCACAGCTTTTGCAGTCAGACAATATCTCTACCCAAATGAAGCTATTTGCTACATCTAGCGTGTCAGTCTTCTAAATGGAAAAACCCCATAGTTTTACTTAAATGCCTGAATTAATAACAAAGGAGAAAAAAATCACTCGTTTCTCCGCAATACGCAGGAGAAATCCTCTATGGGAGGATTTGCCAAATAAAAAAACCCTACAAGACTGGAAGATTCTAAACCCTCGTAATTAATGTACAACACAGAATATGTAATTCTTTGACATCACTTAGGATCTCTTCCAAATACCTGAAGTTGCAGTTTAGGCGTTTGAAAGCAACTGCAAGACAGTTAATTTGAGATTGGTCTTGTTAAGTCTCCAAAGAATATCCATTGATTTGAGATATGAGAATCACAAATGATGACCATTTTTTTAAACATTAAATAACCTAATTCATGACTTGGCCTTGGAAGGTCATTAAACAGTATTCTAACGACGGGATTTTTCTTGCTTTAAAGAATTCAGGATTATTCATTGTCTCCAGTGTTAGTTATCCCACCCAGCTGCCCCCCATTGTTGTACCTATCATGAACATGGGCAACACAAAAACAATGCTTGGCTGCTTAGGATGCAATTCTGATTCTGTAAGAACTGTATAAAAGAAAAGAAAGCACATTTGGCAGAATCCAAAGCCTCATAACTTATTTCTGGTTCAGTTTGGAAGAATGGGAATGGATACTTGGAACTCATCTGGTGGGGACAGAGAATACCAGAAAACACAGTTGGGGGCACTGATCATCATTTGAGATTGCCACGCTGTTTCCCAGCACACAGATAGGATGCACCAAGGGTTTAACAGACCTTTTCCGTACGCCTCAGGAGGTATGGCCTTGGGAATTTAAAAGACAGTATTCCCAGAGACAGAACAATAAGCACAACAGAAATGATTAATATGGCGTGGGTGCTATGCTGAGGGCAATGTTTAGGGGACTTGAAAAAAACTATCAGGCCCATTTTGTTAATTACATGGGTCCCCAGGATTTAGGTCAGAGAACCCAATAACCATTGCATTTTGGAACAGTGGTACATATGAAATCTTTCCTGTGACAACTATTTAACAGGTACTCGGTGAAAAGCGGTATTTTGGGTATTTTGGGTGCTGGAATATTAAGTAGCAACTTGAGAACATGCATCTACCTTTTGACACAGGCCTCTATCATATCACTGGCCATTAGTTTAAGTCTTTGCTCTAAGTGGTGGGCAAATTCTTGTTCTGGCCAGTGCAGATCAAGGACAAACATTTGCAGTGCATCAAGTTTCCAAAAAAGGTCTTCTGATGTTGCAGAGCCATTGCTAGAAGAAAAAGAAAAAAAATGAAGAACGTCATGAGCCTCCAATGTTAGCTCCGGGGATTGCTAACACATTGTTTCCTCCTTTTTGTACCAATTGCCATCATCGAAAAAATACCACATGAAATCTCTAATGGTCACTGTTTTCTCTGTTCAACCTTCTAATTCCTCCTTTTCACTTCTAATGAAAAAGGCAAGGAAGGAGAACAGAATAGAAATAAATATAATAGGAAGGTTTCATAAAAAGGGGCAAAATGGATAAGGATACTTCAGTAAGGAAAGAAATCAAATTGTGTACATAAGAACAAACACTTTAAATGTTCTTTACTAATCTCTTGGATAAAATACGTAAATATTGGGTTGTCGGAAAAGTCATGACATATTTTGTCTATGTTTAATGATATATTGCCCGTTTTGTTTGATAACCTTTTGCCATCTTTCAGTGAGTTTCATTATTCCTCATTCATGGAAGGACCTGTCTTTATTTGTGAAAAAGTGAACAAGGTGCTGATTTACAGCCTCATCTGAATTGAACGTTATACCATGCAAGGAGTTTTGAAGAGAGCGAAACAAGTGGAAGTCTGACGGCACAAGGTCAGGCGAGTATGGTGGGTGTGGCAACACATCCCATCCAAGCTCCAATAATTTTTGACGGCTGATCAAACTTGTGTGTGGTCTCACGTTTTCATGATAGAACACAACTCCTTTACAATTAACAAGCTCTGGACGTTTCTGGATGATAGATTCATTCAAACTGTCTTATTGCCGACAGTACACATTCGAATTGATTGTTTGGTTCCTTGGTAGAAGCTTGAAAAATATGACACCTTTAAAATCCCACCACGCTGAGAGCATAACCTTCTTCTGATGAATGTCTGCTTTCAATGTCGTTTGAGGCAAATCATCATGTCGGGACCAAGACTGTGCACCACATTGTTGTAAACATTCCACTTCTCATCACCAGTTATCAGTCGCTTCAAAAAAGGATTGTTTTCCTCACGTTTAATGAGCATATTGCAGATGTTTATACGTGCTGTCAAATGAACTTCTTTGAGTGCATGCGGAACCCAAATATCGAGCTTACTTACATATCCCACCTTCTTCAGGTGGTTGTGAATGCTTAAATGATGGATGTTTAATGTTACTGCAATCTCTAATGTTGTGTAACGTGGGTTTGACTTGATCAATGCCTTTATTTTGTCGTCATCAACCTCGGTGGGCCTCCCTGACCAAGGAGCGTCGTTGAGATCAAAATCACCAACACGGAATTTCGTGAACCATTATTGGCACTGACGTTCTTGTAGAGCATTGTCACTGTAAACTTTATGCAACTTTTCACAAGCTTGACACACGCTCTTCCCTTTATGGAAGTAAAACAGTAAAATGTGGCAAAAATGCAGTTTGGTTTTCCATCGTCAACTTGCAACAATCTCCAAAGCTCAACCAAATCGCTCAATTTTTTTAGAATGAAGCTGGAACTGTCAGCTGTCAAATGACATAGCAATAACATAGATGCGAATGACTCTAGTACTTCCAAAAATCAACTAGTGCCATCTGTTGCAAACATGCGTCATGACTTTTCCGACAACCCAATATTTCTTTCTAGAAATTCAGAAAAGTATGTTTTATGCAAGAAGATCCATATAACAGCGACTACTAGCTTTACTCTTCTACTCAAGGATATGGGCCTCTGTCATCACGACGGATGGCTTCTGTCTATCTACTGGTATGTACATACAGGACACTTGGCTTTCTCAATTACAGGTAAAGGCGAAACAGGTATTGGAAATGAAATAACAGGTTGGGTAGGGAAGCAAATCTGAATTCTGTTTTGAAATGCTTTTTGGATTTTCTAGCTCATAATTAAATTTAGCAGTACAAGGTATGGTCTAACCCAGAAACGCTATTTAGGATGCTCTGAAGTTGCAGCAAAATCATGTATATTTTAGATTCTCACTTCTGTCTAACTATGGAGCCCAGATCTATTGTACATTCACTACTGTGGTCAAGTTACTCTGTAGTTTCACACTATGTATGAAGGTCATTTACACCAGGGTACATATAGTATTTAGGGTAAGGATAATACTATTACTTTCCATTATGCAAGTAGATAGCTTAATAGGGAAACAGATGTTTTTGAAAGTAAAATATTCCTACATTAAAACATATTGAAACTTAATTGTAAAAGAGAACGAAAGAAAAAAAAGTTGCTGTGGGATTCATTTCTCCTCAGCTTTCCAATATCTGTTTAAGATATATTAATCTAAAATTTATATTTTTAGTTTGCAAAAGAAAATTAAATAAATTCATCACAAGGGCATGGGAGAAAACTTTTTATAAAAAATAAAATTATTTTAAATAGTCACATTATTTAGATAACTATATCTTATTTGGCTAGCATAAAAACATCACTTCTCACTCTGGCTAATTAAAAGCTCGTGTCTGTCCCCACCCCCTGCCTCAGCATCTTAGCTCTATCACCAACCTACTTTGCTTTCCTCCTCCTAGTCTGCCAGTATTTCCACATGATCTCCTTGTCTAGCCAAGATGTCCTCAGAGTTAAATTCTCAAGGAACCATCCACAGCAAAGCGCTGAACCCTACCCACGGCACCTCATTCACTCAATATCTCCTCACCTTAATATTTAGTCCCCCCAAAGTACCATTAAACAAAAGAACCAGATAACACCGTGCTGACCTTGGTGTGAAAAATCTTTGAAAAACCCCTCTACTTACTTCTCCTTCATGTCATATATATAAAAAAACAAACAAATACAAGAGAAAAAAATGAACAGGCAAAATGTCCCTTTATATCCATAGTGTACAATATGGTAGATTACAGGACCTATGTTTTAAGAGTAACTGAAAATAACTGGCAAAGAAGAAAATCTACTTAACATTTTTTTACTTACAAGAAATATAAGTAGCTATTTGAAACATGTATGCATTCTTTAACAGCGTTAACAAAATAGCAACAGCAAAAGCCATAATCAAAACAAAACCCCAAGTAGTAAAGACAGAATTCTATTAAAAATTGACTTTCTCATAATGTGTAACAATTAAATCTTTATAGAGAATATGAACATATGTTTCTTCTCTTCTTTAATGCTATGGTAAGATTCTGAACAACAACTGTTTAATTGGAAATGTAATTAACAAATGTTTGTTATAATTAAATAGATAGATGAAAAAATGTAAACCAGTTTTTTCTGAAGTCAATATATATAACCTGCAATTTTTTTTCCGAAACTTTCATTTTCAAATTAGTGACTTATTATAATCAGTGACTTATTCCTAAAAGTATTATTAATTGATTAAATAATTCAAACATGAATAATGGACTCAGTTAGTTTCCTAAAAATGCCAGCAGGAAACTTATCTTACCAGTATTCACTTTTAGAGCTAAAAAACTGCGAATGAAGATTTTATATACAGGGAGAGATACTGGGAAGCACCTAAGGTGATTTATACATTAGCAGATGGGGTATATCTTCAAACCCATGGTTACTTTGAATTACTAACCTTTACTTAATCAGTACTCGTACTTTTAATTTCTTATATACGTGAAACAAATGTTTTTTGCTATTTAATGCTTTCTAGCAAAAGTTCAAAACTTTTTTGCAATGACCTCATAACATTATGAGTAATTCTGACAAAGAGTCTAATGTTGATCATCTTGGCAGGTAAAGATAATGGTGACTAACTTGGAAAACATATTTTTGATTTGCTCAGAATGATGAAAGTACAAGCCCTTAATTTACAAAGCCAAAATCTGTCATGGTTCCTGTCCTGAGATGTAGGTCACTTTAAAAAGGGACTCCCAAGAAAGAGATTCCAGGTTGACACATATTTCAAAGCTAATAAAATAGTGATGACAAAAAAAACCAACCAAACAAACAAAAAACCCTAAATGTCCCAAGGTAATGCCCACAATAGTGTTCTTGATAAAATCAAGATTGTTAAATAGATGAGAAATAAGGATGAATAGGAGTTAAACTATTAAACAGTATAAAGAAGTAGGAAAAAACCTCATAAACTTAGAAAGGCTCCTTATGTTTCCTAGATAATTCCTGAGCACACACAGACACCATTCTACATGCTATAAAGACCCAAAGCATTTGCCTATAAGTCACATGTGACCTAACATCCTAATAGTTATTATGAGTACAGTGATGATGTTTAACTTGCAGAAATATTGCCAAACTATTTTGCAAGTTCTTGTTCTCTTCCTTGGTCTTTTCTTCTGTCTTTTCCCAACTGTATGCGGCCTAGGTTGGGAATAGATTTGACAGTGGAAATAGCTTAGGTGGAAAGGGTGCTGAACAAGTTCTTAAGTCACTATATTCTCTGGAAGCAGAATCATTAACAATAGGGTGAGGGCTTTGGAGTCAAGCAAACCTGGGTTCAAATCTTACCTCTGCTGCTTACTCTGAGATATTGGACACATTTTGTTTCTTATGCTTTATGACTAAATTTCCTTAACTGTAAAATGGGATTAATGACATTTACCTCACAGGGTTGTTAAATGCAATAAAAAATTTGACTTTGCACCTGGAACATAAAAAACTCCCAATAAGTGATAGCTATTTATCTCTTTCTAATGATTATTCTTTGGGCCAAGTCTGGACTATTATTGGGTTCATTTGATTGTTGTGAAGGTTATACTTTTGAAAATGATACAGTTTAAAATAATGATGATTGATGATAGTAATAATAATAATAATTATAGTAGTAACAATAATAATATAGAGCAGTAGCTAGGATGTGCACCAGGCACTTTTCATAGATTTTTTTTTTTAATCCTCACAAAAATGTCTTTCAATTAGGTGTCATAACCATATTAGAGCTGAGGAAAGTGAGTCTAAGAAAGACTTAACAATGAATAAACTAGGATCTAAATTCGGGGCTGATTGACTTGAAGCCCGTGTCTGTTTCCTTTTAATGAATCTGCTGCAGGCAGGCTCATCGCAACATGGAGTTAATAAGTATGGTTTTCAATGACATAAAGATTATTTAAAATATCTAGGTGTATCAACTGATATATGAAAGGACTAAAAAGACCTTGCTGGAACTAGGAAGTAAAAGACAACCCCTTCTCTGCAACCAGCAAAATCCTTTCTTTAAAAGTCAGACTAAGATAAAAACAGAAAAAGATTATATCTTGAAACTATTTTTACAATGGTTTTCTATACGCACAAGAGAAGTCATGTGGGCATAACAAAGCTGGAGCCAGCTAAGCATCCCGGACACACTGTTCACCACGCTGATTGTCGGAATTTGGAGAACTCTGGTTATATCACTTAGGCCAGAGTCTACAACCTGGGTCACAAAATGACCCTTGCCCCACAGATTACACATGAACTAGATCAAACCAGTGAGTGGTTTTTTTTTTTAAAATCTATATCATTTATCACCCATGTGCTAAGCTTAGCGTTAAGAGCTTAAATAACTCAAACAAATAAACCCCAAACACAGTACTCCTCAACCAACGATGATAAATGCCATGCAATCTGAAGACATCTGCGCAGAACACAGCCCAGGCCATGCATTAGCTAACACACCACCAGGAAATAAGTGAGGAATACACACGTGGACTCATATAAAGGAGCCATCCACGAAGGAGTAGAAATGCTAGGAATCTGTGGAAGATTAAGAGGCAGACTTGGAACTTTTGGAAGAGCTACATTGGGAAGACTGTTGGCGATATTCCTGTAAAGAAACAAACAACGTGGGAAGGGACCACCATGAGCAATACCTACAGATGGCCATGTGCCAAGTCATCAGGTCAGGACAGAAGAGGCAGATGCTCTATGGGCACTGGGCTAGGTACCTACTTGACAGGCTGCCACGTCTCTTGCTCAAAGCCTCTGTGAATTGACTGGGCGATGGAGGACTCCATGAGATCGACGTAGCGGACAACCAAGGGCACAAAGATTTCTTGCAAGTGTTTGTGAAATTTTCCATTACATAAAAGTGCTGAAATAGTCAAGCAGAAACAGTGTTTGTCAGAGGGATAATATTAGGCATTTGGAAAATCTGGGCGAAAAAATTTTTCCTGAAAGAGTCTGACAGGAAGAACTGATCAAATGCAGATGATAATAGATCTTGCTCCTACTGAATATCATATCATGAAAAACAGATCAAGAAGTATAACTGGCCTTCTATACATGGCTCTCAAAACACAAATAGATTGCATTTCTATAAAATGTTCCTGGACGGTGGTATGTTTTTACTTTCTAAGAGGTTTAATGTATGAGGTATACGAGGACTTGCTAGAGATTCAAGGGAGCTGGTGGATCACTGAAGGTCCTGATACATGTAAATACAGCAATTAAACAGTTACAATTCCTGTGCTATGCTGTGTATCACAGAAGAGCTAAACTTATTCAATTCTAAGAGCTAAGCCTGATTACTAGGAAAAAAACTTGTTAAATTCACCAAGAGGGTGACTGTGGCCTTGTGAACGTCTATTCTAATTCATAACCTTTTTAGTTATTTGTGGATTTTCTTTTAGTAATGACTTTCCAAACTACCTTTAAAATCAGTCAGAACATCACATGCATTTTTCAGATGTCCATTTGTTTTTAATGTGTGGAACATTCTACCTAAAGCAGTTGTAAAAGACTTTAGAATTTGTGTTATTGCGACAGGGCTGCTAGGCGAGGTGTACCTACCTCCATCAAAGGATGGATACTTTCTATAAACAGGGCATGCTTTCATTAGAACATATGTCAGTGCTGTGGACTCAACGTTTGCGTTCCCCACAAATTCTCATGTAGAAATCCCAACACCCAATGTGATGGTATTAGGAGATGGGGCCTTTGAAGGGTAATTAGGTCATAAGGGCAGAACCCTCAAGAATGGGATTAGTATCCCCATAAAGGAGATCTTAGAAAGATCCCTTGACACTTTTACCATGTGAGGACATAGCAAGGAGATGGCTGTCTATGAAGCAGGCTCTCACCAGACACAGAATCTACCTACAACATGATCTTGGACTTTCCAGCCTCCAGAGAAATAAATTTCTGTTGTTTATAACCCACCTAGGCTGTGATATTCTGTTATAGCAGCCCAAACGGATGTGCCTACATTGCACATGAAAAAATAGAGAATCTGTAGGAAAATGCTAAGTAATACTCAATAAAGAATTTGTAATGTTTGGATGATGGGACATATTTTTCAAGTGAACATATCTTAACCGTCCATCGGGCACAACTGATCTCACAGATTGTTTTGAATTTCTGTTGATTTTTATACTGAATTTATGTAATAAACATA